AGCATGGCCTAATTAGGGACAGTTAACATGGCTTTGTGCAGGGCAGGGCATGTCTTACTAACTTGATTGAATTTTTCGAGGAGGTGATGAAGGTGATCGATCAGGGTAGAGCAGTGGACGTTGTCTAACTTGGATTTTAGTAAGGGTCTCGACAAGGTCCCTCATGGTAGGCTCATCCAGAAGATTAAGATGCATGGGACCCACAGTGACTTGGCTGCATGGATTCAGAATTGGCTTGGCCATAGAAGGCAGAGGGTAGTGGGGGAAGGGTGTTTTCCAGGCTGAAGGTCTGTGACTAGTGGTGTTCCGCAGGGATCCATGCTGGGACCTCTGCTGTCTGTGATATATATAAATGACTTGGATGAAAATGTAGATGGGGTGGGTTAGTAAGTTTGCAGACGATACAAAGATCAGTGGAATTGTGGATAGTGTAGAAGGTTGTCAAAGGATACAGTGGGATATAGATCAGTTGCAGAAATGGGCGGAGAAATGGCAAATGGAGTTTAATCTGAGTAAGTGTAAGGTGCTGCACTTTGGGAGATCAAATGTTGCGGAAAAGTATACAGTTAATGGCAGGACCCTCAATAGTATTGATGTACAGAGGGATCTTGGGGTTCAAGTCTGTAGCTCCCTGAAAGTGGCCTCGCAAGTAGATAGGGTGGTAAAGAAGGCGTGTGGCATGTTTGAGTGTACAGGTGTGAGGCTGGAAAGGCACAGCAGGTCAGACGGCACCAGCCTCACACCAATAGTCTCTGGCTTCCAGCATCTGCAGTCCTTATTGTCACCTTGTGGAATGCTTGTCTTTGTTGGTCGGGGAATTGAGTACAAGAGTCAGGATGCCATGTTGCAGCTTTATAAGACTTTGGTTAGGCCACACTTAGAATATTGCATTTAGTTCCGGTCGCCAAATTACGGGAAGGATATAGAGGCTTTGGAGAGGATGCAGAAGAGGTTTACCAGGATGCTGCCTGGATTAGAGGGTATGAGCTATAAGGAGAGGCTAGAAAATCTTGGGTTGTTTTCTCTGGAGTGGCGGAGGCTGAGGGGAGACCTGATAGAAGTCTATACAATTATGAGATGCATAGATAGGGCTGACGGTCAGAATCTTTTTCCCACAATTAAAATGTCTAATACTAGGGGGCATGCATTTAAGGTGAGATGGGAAAAGTTCAAAGGAGACATGAGGGGCAAGTGTTTCACACAGAGGGTGGTAGGAGTGTAAAACGCACTGCCAGGGGTGATGGTGGAGGCAGATACGATAGGAGCATTTAAGGGACTTTTGGATAAGCACATGAATATGCAAGGAATGGAGGGGTATGGACCAAGGACAGGCAGAAGGGGTTAGTTTCATTTGGCGTCATGTTCAGCACAAAATCATGGGCGGAAGGGCCCGTTCCTGTGCTGTACTGTTCTATGTTCTATGAGTTTAGAGGGTGGAATAAAGAGGAGCAACCAGGAGTGAGTTGCAGAGTGACTCTGATTGTAATGAAGTGTGGATTTGAGCTTCAACAGTGGATGGGATGAGATAGAGTCAGCATCAGGTGATGTTTCAGCAGGTTGCAACAGACTGTCTCAGTGAGAGGACAGATTTGGGGTTGGAATGTTGTTCTCTCTTTCAACTAATTTTTCCTTTTCTTTCCGTGCAGATCTCAGGAAAGGCAAGAAACACCATTATCGCCCAGCCAGGTAATGGCCTGTCTGTTTCTCATTCCTTTAGCAAGCAGCACCTCCAATGTGTTCTTTTGTCTGTTTAGTGGTGATTGGAGACTGAACAGGAAGTGTACAAACCGTACTTTAATCTGACCCTTCCCCTTCCTGATCTCCTCTTCTCTCCATGGCTCTCCCCTTCCCCGTGCAGACGAACATTGTCTCTTGCCCTGTTACCTCCTCTCTCTGACACCTCCTCTCCCCTACCCACACTCTCTTCCCCATCACCCACCCCTTCCAGTCTTCAGTGATCTTGGTGCACCCCCTCCCCTGTGTTGACTTTTTAATTGATTCACTGTAATCTGTAGAGTAGGGATATTGTCATGAAGCTAGTCATCCACCCTTGGTTAATGTTCTGGTGTTCAAATGCTCACCATAGCAACTGGTAGAATTTAAGTTTAATTAATAAATTTGGAATTGAAAGCTGGCCTTAAAAATGGTTACCATGAAACTATCATTGTTTTAAAACCTCATCTGGATCAGTAATGTACTTTGGGGAAGGAAATCTGTCATCCTCGCCTGGTTTGGCATATATGGGACTCCAGACCCACAGCAATGGGGTTGACTCTTAACTGCCCTCTATAATGGCCCTAGCAGGAGATATGAGGTACAAGGATCCAGAACCAGGGGTTACAGTTTAAGGATATGGGGTAAGCTATTTAGGACTGAGAGGAGAACTTTCTTACCCAGAGAGTGGGGAGCCTGTGGAATTCACTGCCACGGAAAGTGGTTGAGGCCAAAACATTGAATGTTTGCAAGAAGGAGTTAGACATAGTTCTTATGGCTAAAGGGATCAAAGATTATGGGGAGAAAGTTGCAACAGGGAACTGAGTTGGATTAACAGCCTCGATTACATTGAATGGCAAAGCAGACTTGAAGGGCCAAATGGCTGACTGCTCCTCCTATTTTCTGTGTTTCTGTGTAACTATGGGCAATCAATAAATGTTGAACAAGTCTGCAATGCCCACATCTCATCTAATGAATAATTTTTAAAACCTCCCCCACCATGTGGTCCTGAGCCTCAAAATGAGCGTAACGCTGGCAGCAGCCATTGCCTTCTCTTTGATGCTGCTTTCTCACTGGATTTCTCCCCATTACCTCCACAAGATTCTGTCCCAAGGTCTGTCCACTATGTTCAGTGTTTAAGTTAGAAGTTCTTGCAAAATGGATAATTAAAATTGTGTTGTGTGTCCTTTCTTCAGCTGAGTGAAAGCACGGTGTTGGTGGAGCAGGAGAATGATGCCGAAGTGCTGTCAGATTTGGCGCAGGCAGAGAGGAAACAAATACAAGAGATAGTGCGTCTCGAGCATGAAATCCAACGGTTGCAAAATGGAAGGGGATTGAGCTGTGGGAATCCCATCTGTGGTCTATCACGGAGGGAGATAGAGAGCCAACGTAAGGAGGAGATCAGACGCTTGGAGAAGGAAGCATCCAGAGTGGCACAGGAATTCCTGGAGTTGCTGAACTTTGGAGGGTTGGATGAGAGTGGCCGGAGTCTTGAGCAGTCTCCATCCAGTAGGGACAACCTCTGCAGTAGTAGCTGCATTGGGCAGTGTCCTGAGCAGGAGCTGGACAAAGAATTTCAAACTGATGAGGAAATGTCAACAGTGACCTGTACAGATCAGACTGATGGATCAACGAGTCAGATGCAAATCAGTAACTATGTGCAGGACAATGAATACATGAACTTGCCTTTGTCCAGTGAAACACTGGAGGAGAGAGAGAATCCCCAGGATAGGAGAGGCAGCAATCGGAGTCCACAGTGGGAGAGTGAGGAAATCTCAAACACTGGGCCTGGCTCTCTCTATGCAACTGACAACAGTGAAGAACCGATTTACAGTCTCCCCCCTGATGTTGAATCAGATTATGATCATGATGAGTTTGATGATCCAGTTACAAATCATGGCGAGTCACAGGACAGTTTGAAAATATCCAGCTTTAATCCCAGGAACATGGGGATGTGTCGCTGCAGCACTGACTCGGTGAGATATCGACTCATAAAAAAATCATTGCAGTTCTGCGCACTTCAGTTTTCATCAGGAACAGAGAAACTGCTACCCATTCGACTGGACAGAGCGGTGTTTGTAGGGAATGGGAATCATAAGGCAGTGACCTGTTTTACAGAGAATTACATTTACACAGTGCCTGTGCACCCTATACCCTCTCACAGAGCCTGAACCCCCTCACAGGCCCTGTCCTCATAGACCCTATACCCCCTCACAGAACCCATACCCTCTCAGATTCTAGACCTCTCAGACCCTGTACCACCTCACAGGCCCCAATCTTTGTTATAAAGGACCTGGGTTTGGAGTGAGTGTGAGGTGACATTAAAAAGTGGAATAAAGAGAAGGCCATTCAGTCCCACAATACTGTTCCAGCATTCAATTAGATTATGGTTAATGTGAATCTTGACTCCATTCAGCCACCTTGGTTCTGTTATGTTAATCCCTCCTTGCTTTAACTAGAAATAATCTATCACAGCTTTGACTACTGCAACCCCTACATTATTTGGGGATCACATCTAGAAATCCACTGCTGTTTGTGTGAGGAAATATTTCCTGACTTCACCCCTGACCTCGACTGGAATGTTGTACTTGTTCTGATACCCCCCTGCCCACTGGAAGAGATGGTTTCTTCCTGTCCATTGATGGAGTGAGAGAAGTAAAAGCAGTGCAGGGCAGATTCCAAACAGGATCATAAAATAATCTCTGGGATTAATGGAACACTGGTCTTCAGATCCAGACATCTAGAATACAAGAGATAGAATATTTTCAGCTGAACAAAGCCCTGGTTAAACCACACCTGACCAAGCCACTGGGGGCAGTGCTGACCACACCTGACC